GTGTCCTGCTAGTATATCAATGTAGGTGAGCTTTCAGAGCGTTTTGATTGCCCGCGTACGCGTGCAATAAGCCAGGGCCCTCTAAACACACATTTACTGATGACGTCAGAGACATGATCAAACCAGCCTGTTCACGGTATTCATTACACCAGAAATTATCATCAGCCTCAACCCTTCCTACAGCCATCAACTGCCAGTGATAGACGTAATTGCCGCGCAGTCGATAATAGCCTTTATACCTCGTTACCCACCCCAGCCCAAGTTTGTTAACACGTTGATTAGTGAGGCCACCCTTAAAAAATTGTTTGTTTCCCCTTTACCTACTCGCCTCTCAGGGTACCGAGTAGGTAGGTAGGTGATTTTTGTTTGTTTTGACAAGATGTGTGAATGAATATTGTATATTCTGTTTTGTGTATATGTTTTTGCAGCACAAAATTTTTGTTTTGGCGAAACGAAATAATTTTTGTTTTGTTTTAATCGGCCAATAAAATGTGTCGAGTAGCGGCGTTTTGGCGAGTCGGTCGGTAAAGGGGAAACAAGATATATTTTATTTTAGGCCTGACGTATTGCAGTATGCAGTGTTCGCGTGTTTCGCAACTCGTAATTCTTGTAATTCTCACAATTTCTCAAGATGCACAGAACATTTTACCAATGTAGTGCAGGGGTAGAAATTAACTTTTGAACAAGGGAGTCCAACGGACTCCCTAGCTTCAAAAAGATGGAGTCCGCAGCAAAATGAGGGAGTCCGCAGTCTGAGGTTACAAATTAAAGATATTAACAATGACGCATGTGCTTATTTTTAAGATTCATGCAGTTGCACGTCTGCCAAATGTTCTTTGGACATTGGCTAAAAAAGTACAGTAATTCTGCGAGGCCGTGCTCCAGAACGAACTAGTTAGTATGGCAGAATTTTCAAGGAGTCACACGGACTCCTGCATATGTCAAATCAGGGAGTCCGACAGTAAATCAGGGAGTATTTGACTCCGGACTCTCGTTAATTTCGCACCCTGTAGTGGTTTCAGTTAGTTATGGATACGTCGCAGTAAGTACTAACAGTAGATGTTTCACATACGTTCACCCATTTCACACACAGGCAGTCACTCATTGTGCAAAATAGAAAAATGCTGATTTCGTCATTTCGATTTCTACAAAAGTAGCCGATGTATAATTGGATATTTCTCTGTCATTACAACTCGAATAATTTACTTTTACACTCGTTTAAATGGTAACACATTGCTGTATAATAGCCTGTCAGGGTTTGATGTTAAGTGCCGTCTTTTAGACGCTATTGTTCTTTATTTGCATAAATTTTCAATACGAACACACCACTTAGACTTTAGGCATTTTTTTTTTTTATTTACAATAAATAAGAAAAATGCTGACACACGATTTTGGTGCCTATTGTGCTCAGTTTGTAGAAAGATTTTTGCTTTCATACTCTTTGTGGTAATTGAGAAATATCCAAAATACAATTTTTACATAAAAACTGAAATTTTGTGTTGTCACATAAGGAAGGTACAGGAAATTTCACGACATTTTTCAGCTTGAGCATAGAGATACGTTTCGCCTATGAATAAAACGTGTGATTGACTCGATGCATGGGTCAATCAATGTTTACTCTTGATTTAAGCAATATTCATGCAAAAACTTATATTCTTAATGTTTCTCTACTATCTCTCACCTATTATCAGTAATGATTTCCTCTAAATGCCGTTCAAATGCTCCGCTGCAACACACGGTCTCCCTGCACACACATCACTACGCACAAGCAACTGAAATATAGAGCAGGTGGGAAAGCATGAGCGTCAAATTCACACAATGCTCGCTTCGTTGCATACCATTACAGCACAAATACACACCCAACCACATCCATTTTGGTATCCCCTGCGTAGCAGGGCCGGTTCCAGGGCTGAGGCTAGACAGTATTTTTCCAGATTTAAAGGACACATCCCCCAAAAAGGGCACACCACCCCACAGTGAGCGCAAAATTTTGAAGGGCACTTTGAAATCTAGACCGTATTTCCCAATACGGCAAATACGGTCTGAATCCGCCCCTGCATAGAATGAACTCAAGGTCTTTTCGTCCTTCAGAAATACCAATATAAGTACAAATGATAAGTCAAAATATCCTCACATCTCACATCACATACATATATGCAATCCAATGATCATGACGAGTGAATTTCGGAAATTTGCAAAATTGCAAACTTCACACCAATACATAAAAAGGAGATAAAGATAATCCAGAACACAATAGTTATTCATTGTTTTGGTAAATTACTTGAAAAAGCATTATGCGCTCAAATTTGCGATTACCTAGAAAGGAACTACCTATTATACGTAAAGCAATTTGGATTTAGATGAAAGTTTCAATTGAGCACTGTAGCTCACACAAAAAGGGCACAAATGAGTGAATGGCGAACAAATGCACCGATGGGAGGGGGGGCAGTTTAAAAGCACCACCAGTATTAACAGTATTTAGTCGCACTATACTAAGGTATTAATTAGACTTATAATTCATTCCTTCATTGTTCGTTAGCATAAAATAACTACTTTCTAGTAACATATGTACTACAAAATCGCACCCCACCCCCCCCAAATAACCCTAGCAAGACGCGTTTCTTGAGCTAGCAAGGCCGGTAACGTTTTTATTAATATTTCAGATTTTAGGGCACTTGCCTAA